CTCTCCCCACTTTAATTCTAAATATTTCATTAACAAAACTATTAAAAAGTATAAAGTAGCTGGCCCTATACCTAGGACTTAAGGGAGCCAGATCCCACATGGTCAACGGTGGTTCAAATCTCAGCCCTGGTGGTTGGAAAGACACACTGGACATGTGCACATGCGTGCTTGAAATTCTGATAGGATGGAGAAGTGGAGACGGGATTGCAGTGTGACCATGTGCCACTGGGAGTGCTTTTTCATTCTCCCTCTCTGCTCTCTGTCACTTTCTGGTAAGCACCCATGCCTCCTGGCAATTACAGGGGGTGAGGGGAGTTTAAAAGCAATTATTTTTACCAGGTCGATAAGCCACACTGTTCTTTGTTTACCCCCTGAATGGGAGCTGCCGGGACACTAAGAATGCTGTGCCTGAGGCCAGCCTCCGAGTCTGCATCACACAGACTGTTTGATGCACAGTCATGCAGTGCAAGGAAAAGGCAGGAGGCTAAGACAGCAGTGCCCATTGTAGCGCCTGGTGGAAAACAAGAAGAAAACAAATCAATGTCTTTTCCTTTGGGAGTGAGTGAATAAACTTCTTAGTAGTGTCTGAGATATGTTTCTTTTCCCAATTTTCAGAGGGGAAATAGCATTTTTACAGCTCAGTTTAATTTCTCTAAGTTCCTAAACCACCAACCCTGTCTTTCACAGGAAGTCAGGCCTCCAAGTTGAAGCCTGTGGGTGTTGAGTATATAGGATAAAATGTTGAGTGCACAGGTAAAAATTAGTATGCTAAATCCATTTGTAAAAAGTACCCTGTATGGAAAGTGGCTTTGCCTAGAAAGACTTGAAAATAAGTTATTTGAAAAGTTGACAATTTCCATTAAAGAGGATTCTATGGATATAAAAAATTCTTACCAATATGGAAAGTGATTCTGAAGAAATACAGTACTTCGTAACAAAGTTTGTCAATTTTACAATTAGCCAAATATATTTGGTTACTGTTAATTTTGTTTTCCAAACATAATTTACAGCATTGTTATCATTAAATTAGCACCATTAAACACCCGCAGTTAATCGCTCTTCAACTATGTGAGTGAGATTTCATTAAATTCAGAAAATTAGTAAACTCCCTCTGCTCTCTGGAAAACAACAGGAATCAGCGATTTTGTTATAAAATTCAAGTTACCTGGAAAACATTGAAATAGGCTGAGCTTTAACCCAAATAAGAATGGCATATGTGTAGAAAGTACTATGTTGGAGGGCTAGCAGGTGGCATAGTGGTTAAGGAGCTGGACTCCCATGAGATTGACTAGGGTTTGCTTCCCAGACCCAGCAGGTTGAAACTCATGCCAGAAACATGTGTGGACATGCCCAAAATCACAAAAGGAGAATGAAGGAGAAGGGCTTGTGGAGTGGCCATTCTCCATGAATGATTTCTTGCTTTCTGTATCTCTGTCTCTCTTTGTTATAGACAGCACGTTCTCCATAACAAAAATCTCTCTCAAAAAAAAAAAAAAAAAGAGAAATTAGTCTGTTGGTATGCATCTATCTATCTGCTAATGAACCCATCGTTCTAGTATTCTAAGGAAAAATATTAGAACAGCATATGACAGTATCAACTCACTTTGAAATGGGGCTATGAGGGTCATGGGTGATATTGTATATGATGCTTAGAAGAATAAGAAAATGCTGATAAAATCCTGCTGATGGGAGAGAAGATGAGGTTGGATCTGGTAAACAGCATATGGTGTCATGAACTTAAATCCCAGGGATTAAGAGTTATTATGGTGCATCTTAGCCATGACGCCAGAAATAGAACCAGCCAACATTTTAGTGGACGTCAAGGTCTCTATAAAACAAGGATGATCAAAGCCAAGAGGATTATATTCAAAAGGCATATCTCATTGACTAGAGTTAGATTAGATCTTAAAATAAATAAATAAATAAAAGAAGAAACAGGAGCTGAGTATTAAATGGAATAAAACCAGAGGAAAAATCAGGAGTGAAACAAGGGAGACCTGAAGCAATCGAGTTAAATAGTTGGTCACAGAGTAATGCAAGGTTGACCACCCACCATCACTCCAGAGAGGCTGGGTCCTTCTGCAGAATGAATCCCTGAGTTCCCACCCTAAACCCAAGGAGTTTTCCACCAGACACTGTAAAGCAGCCTAGCGAAGCGCATAAAAGAAGAGTTGCAATTAGTAGCCGTGGTGACATTTTGCAGGGTACTTTTGAGAGGCTGAATTGGTGAGCTGATAATGACATAACAAACCATATCTACATTGTAGCACACCACAGATATAGTGATTCATATCCCAAGAAACAGTGACATATAAAGGAAAGTAGAAAACTCAATTCACTGGTATGTAATGTAATTCAATACTTTGAAGAGAATTGTTTTCTGAGCCCCTGAAATAAACAGAGCCATGTGCTGGTGTCTGTGGATTTAACTATAAGGGACATTAGTTTCAGGCAGTGATACGGGACTAGAAGATCAAATGAGTCCAGAACTCGTGCAGTGGAGTTAACCTAATGAGGGCGGTCCTAGGAAGGCCAGGATGAGTATTAACCATACCTAAGGAAATGGTCTGTGAGAGAACAGAAAAATTAAAGCTGGCTTTAGAAACATCTCTGCACAGGAAATAGTAGAGAACTCTGGGTCTCAATAGCCAAGCTCCTTGCAATCGTAATAATAACTCTCTTTCTCTTAGGCACACAGGAAAACGGAAATGATCAGTAAGTAAGGCCGTGTTGTCTGTTTTCCTAGAAGCTTCACATAGGGCAAATGCTTGATCCTCTACTTACACTTTATTGTTGTTTTCTAAAGAGCTTTGTGCAGCAAACACTGTAGTTATTGCCGTTGGCTATTTGCTAGAGCTCTCTCTAACAGAAATTCCAGCAACTAAGAGAAGGTTGCTCTTAGGCTTGGATCAAGTGGTAGAAGGGAGATAAGAAATGAAAAGGAAAAACATAGGAAGGAATATGAGGAGGAAGTACAGAATACATATGTAGAGTTTCAAAATACTTTTCCCAGGTCAGCCCATGGGCTGATGGTTAGGGCAGCTGGATCCCATGTGGGCAATCACATAGTTCAAGTCCTATACCCGGCAACTTGAAAAACACCAGGCATGTGTGCATACATGCCCAAAATCCCAAAAGGAAAGAGAAGTGGAGAAGGGCTCACTGTGGCCATGCCCAATTGGAGGTGCTTTCTCCTCTTTCTGTCTCCCCGATGAGCACATGTGCTCTCTGACAAACTAATAATAATAATAAAGATGTTAAGTTTTCCTCATGTAGTTTTTAGTATATTAATTGCAGTTAGGGAAAAATCATGCTTGGACCATGGGTCAGCTCTAAGTGACTTTGCCTTCATTGAAAATGATTATTCTACTTAGACTTTACTAAAAAATAAAGCAGATTTTAGCCATCTAGGCAACTGTCACAACCAGGGTATTGCAAAGAGACACAATGGCTTTCAGGTCAAAAACAAATTCTACAGTTAAGTTTTCTTTGTTGACCTGAATTTGTAACCTGCCTTTGTATATGCATTTTTATATTTCATCAGGTTGTAAACTTTAGACATAATATCCCTAGAACACCTACCCATCTAAAATAGAAATGGAAGCTCTTAAGCTGTCCAAGAGACAAGATTAGGGTTTCAAATTACCTGCGGTCTGAGCGACAACAGGTTGGAACTCTCGGTTCAAATAGACAGGTTAAATACTGCCCTGCGGTGTCTCAGGACCTCATGAACAGGAATAGACCAGAACTCGGCATGACCCCTCCAGGTGTAGAAACACGTCTATGTCTTCCCTGTGGCAATTCAGAACTGGAGACAGGTGCACTGTGGCCCTGACACAAGTGTGTCACATGAGCCATGTTGATGCTCGATTTATCTGATAATCATGACTGTAAGAGAGTGACAGGGATTTATTACCCTGATCCCAGAAGTGGAAAGTGCCAAACAGTGTATGTGTATTGTATGCAAATCAATTTGTATGTGAAATGCACACATACAAAGGCATGCTTTGTTTGTTCATGTGTGTCTTTTGCTATGGCAACATACAAATGTGCATGTGTGCCTTTGTTCTGCTTCTCTCATATGTGCTTTCTCTCCCAGACCTACAACACACATTACTGTACTGCTAACGGTGTTTTCTGTTTCCAATAGACCCCAGTCCGATAAGGAGAGTGTGAAGCTTCTCACTGTAAAGACAATTTCTCATGAGTCCGGTAAGTTCCCAGGTAGTGGGTGAGATGAAAACTGGTTATTTCAGGGACCAGCAGTTAGCATAATGGCTACGTCGCTGGACTCCCATGTAGTCAACCATGGTTCAAGTCCCAGTCCCAGTGGCTTAAACTCACCTGGCGTGTGTGCGTGTGTGCCCAAGATCCCGGGAGGAGAATGGAGGAGAAGGGATGGTGGTGTGGCTATCCCCCCGTAGGGGGTGATTTCTCACTTTCTGTCTTTCTGTCTCTCTCTTTCTGGTGAGCGCATGTGCCCTATAGCAAAGAAAAAAAAAAAACCTGATTATTTCAGAATCTAACTAGATTCATGTGAAATGTATCCAAAAGATAAAACTTTTTCTAAGACAGTCTTTTAGTAACTCTCAATAAACACAAAATGCTCCTATGAAGGGAAAATGGTCCCTAGAAATAGAAGTTGTATTAGATTGTGGAACTGTAGGGCCTTTCGAAGTTGCTTTCTGTAGCTATGCGGTATACCTAATGAGTGGCAGCCGAATGCCAAGTCTGTTAAAGGTCTTCTGTTATTGCTGTTGTTTTGTTTCAGTTTTGGTAATGGATGTGCCCAGTCAGCTGGAACCAGAATATATTCATCAGTTACAGTGTCAATCAGGGGGCCAGCGTGGTGGCCTCATGGTAAAGGTCGCTGGGTCCCGTGTGGCCAATAGCACAAATGGCATCCTGGACCCAGGGCTTGAGAAGCACTCCCGGAGCAAGTGCTTGTGTGTACAAAATCCCAAGAGGAGGGAGAGATGGAGGAGAAGGGATTTCAGGACGATGATCCCCCGCGAGGGTGCTTTCTTGCTCCCTCTGTCTCTCTCTGCTGAGTGCACTTGCTCTCTAGCAAAAAAATGCTTTAATGTAAATCATGTTTTACTGTATTTCATACTGTTTTAACTGAGCATTGCAATAAAGTTAAGGCAATTTCTTCTTGATAAAATTCACATTTCCGTTTTCTATTTCTTAGGTTTATTCATTTGGTTTGAAATGTAAAAAAAAAGAAAAGAAAAAGAAAGCCTTTCTGTAGATACATGATTTACAGGAGTTGTATTTGCATTAATAAAAATAAGATGGTAGATGGGGTTCTTTTTCCTTTGTAAAGGCAGCATCTTTCTGTCTCAGTCCTCCCACATCAGAACCTGGCTGGAATTACAAGTGTGCACTACTGTGCCTGGCCTTTAGATTGGACTGGGAACCGAACACAGTCCTCCCATGTGGCCGCAGCCTGCAGAGCGCAATGTCTTAGCAGCACGGGGCACTGTGGCTAGGCCAGCACACAGCTTTCAACGATGAAGAATCACAGGTATCTTTTTGGGTTTTAAGTAGACCAGCTATTTTAAACATCACTATCACAAAATGAATAAATTAAAAGCAGTTATTAGGGGGCCAGCAGGTGGCATGGTGGTTAAGATGATGGACTCCCACATGGTCAACTATGGCTTGAATCCTGGACCTGACAGCTCTCTCTCTCGCTCGCTCTCTCTCTCTCTCTCCCTCCCTCCCTCCCTCCCTGGTGAGTGCATGAGCCCTTTAGCAAATTTTAAAAATAATGATGACAGAGACCAGCAGATGGCATAACGATTACATCTCTGGATTCCCACAAAGTCAAGCACAGTTCAAGTCCGAGACCCAGTGGCTTAAAACACTCCAGGCACATGTGCATGTGTGTCCAGAATCCCAAGAGGAGAATGGAGGAGAAGGGATTGTGGCATAGCCATCCACTCTGGGAGGTGATTTCTTGTTTCCTGTCTCTCTTCTCTCTCTGTCCCTCCAGCAAGTGCACATGCCCTATAGCAAAAATCTCTCTCTCTAGAAAATAAAAGTCAATTTACAAAAAGATGATAAATACAATTAAATAAATAATCCTTAAGAAAAGGCAGTTACTAGTTTTACAATAATCCATGTGGCTCTTATTTAAATCTTAAATTTTTTTTAATCCATTTATAACATTCAGTCCCCTAATCTTACTTACACAAAATAGCTGCAGAATGCATGTGTATGTGAAGTGAGCACTACAGGGTGATAAGCTACAAGTATTTCTGGTAACTAAAAATAATTGTAAAACAGAAAGCTATAAATACTGTGCCAAACCAAAAGAAAGATAAAAGAAAGGCCGGATGTGATTCCAATTTCATGTCGAAAATTCAAAGGAGAACAAACTGCGATTGTCCAACAGAGCACTGGAAGAGCGAAGGCGCCCAAAGCCTGCTCAGGCTTCCCCAAGCCCAGCACAGGCCCGTTTTCTTATTCAAGGGAGTTCTCCTCCTTGTACTCTCCCATTCTTCAACGGACCCATCCCTTTATTCCCACGCCATTCTTTCTCTCAGGAGTCATCATTAGAACAGGCAAAGAAGCAAAATTCACTCACGGAACAGTCATTATAGGAGCCACTCGCAGGCCTGGCCTGGGAACTCGCCAGCCCCAGCAGAGGAGCCACACATTGTCCACCAACTGGTTAAATGCATAGTCACTTTCTTGGCTGATTATTGTTTTATAAATAAAAATTCACTAGCACCAAGAAATGAACAAAAGGATAAAAGTGACCAAATCACAGATGAAAAAGTCATACAGAGATTCCTCTTTCGTCTTTTCAGTCCCTCAATATTGGGCTTATTCTCTGCATTTCCACCAAGACTTCCTTGACTATCCCAGCTGCGAAATGTCATTTCCTTCGTCTTAATGTGTTGTTAATTTGGAAAATTAACATATATTACTGCCCTCTTTTCTTCTTGGCTTAACCCATTGTAACATGGCACAATGGAAAATTACAAAAACATAGAGAGTAAAAAACATTTGTAATTATTCAGAAAACTTAATAACCGTGACATATCCAGTATTGGCATTTGGTCTCTTCCTGCCAATTTTCTTGTCAATGTGTCTGTTTGTTTATAAAGGTATATGTGTACGTTACTTCCTTTTACTATAATTTATGATAACTGATATTGAAATCATAGTGCTAGCAAATATTTCCCACATTTTTTACTCCCAATTAGACAGACTTTGACGAGAGCTATCAAGAATTTTCAGAGGCCAGCAGGTGGCATGGAGGTTAAGGCACGAGGCTCCCATATGGCTGACTGCGATTAGAGTCCTGGAGCTGGTGGCTTGCTTTCTCACTTTCCCTCTCTCTCTTTTTTTCTCTGGTGAGAGCATGTGCCCCATCACAACTTAAATAATAATAAATAAAATTAAGTGATTCTTTTAAAAAAATGAATTTGCATGATTTTGACATAACCTGTTCCTGGCAGGGGTAGGGCTCAGTGCATGCACACTCTGTTCAATTCCCATTTCTGTGCTTCATAGCCATGGTCCTAGGCTGGCACTGCATGCCCTTTTGCAAAGCAACCACTGTGAGCAGAAGTTTGCAGGGCAGAGGCTGTGAGGGCTGTCAGCTGTGCCCGGTGTTTCTCAGACCACAGGACCCATAGACAGGAGTCCTAAGTTCATACCTCCCTAAGTCCTGGCCACCGTTATTACTGCTTGATCATCCGAGTCACAAGGGACACCCACAGCATCCACAGAAAACAGGCTTCCTAACCGCCGAAAGGTGAAAACTGGAGAAAAATGATGACATTTATTTTGAAAGCTGAAGATGTTGGCCTGTCCTGTTGTTATGTACCATGATTGATGTTAATACCTGACTGTGAAATATGGCGGCCATGAATCCAGAGGCATGCACAAAACATGGAGTCTAAGAGCTTCCACCATCCCGTATTTATCTTTATATTAGATGGTGGAATAACTCTGATTTCCAGTAATGGCACCTGTATACCCTAAATGTCACCCAAGTGCTCGTGGTGGCCTATAAAATCATTTTCACAACACTATCACTAAATTATTTAAACAGAAGTCCCCCAGAATGTCTTCCTGACAAAATGACACTTTAAATATATGATATGGGTTTGCTGAAATAAGCCAGCTCATGTTACAAGCAAAAATCAATACCTCATTCCCCGAGCATCTCTGTGGTTATCATCCTTAGGCCACCACCCCCACCCCCTTACTCCCCAGGGATTGGCTTAGCTTTGCTCCTTTAGGGTAAAAACAGACCTGGCTGAAAAAAACTCATACATCTTGGTGAAAAATTTCCAGGCAATACTGAGAGGCACATTGTGACTCTAATGACATTTTTTGCAGGAGAATTGGACTTCCTTGAAAAACAAACAATAAACCAAAAAAGTTTATTTTCATCTTTAGTCACTCTCAGTTTATAGACCAAAACATATCTTCTGTTCTTAGGTGAACGCTCTGCACCAGGGAAAAACAAGAACTGACAGCTTACTGAATCCTCCCCACACCTGGGCAATAAACGTGTAAGTTTCCTAATTTCGTTTGCTGAGAGTCTCATTAATACCTGCTTTTGTAGCATGCTACGGCTTAGATTATTTTTATAGATTTTAACACACTGAAAAGTTGATGGCTTGTGTCAGTAAAACCACCACTGTCTATCTGTAAAAACAAACTCTAAGAAAAGTTGCCAGAAAAATGAATGCTTATGGTTGTAGAAGTCTCTTCCAAATGCCTTTCCTGTTTAAAGAATGACGCACTCACTCTTTTTGCCCCATGATAGTGTTTCTTTCTAAATATAGTCTGCCTTTACCTGGGACGTACGCACACACTAGCAGTGGCCGTTGGACAGGGTTCTACTGCTAAGGAAGACTTGCAGGACCCAAGTTTGCAAATCTGCAGTTCATTACAAGAAAAGAATACAATATAGAAGCCACATTAAATTAAGCAAATGGTGGGCCAGCAGATGGCATAGTGGTTACATCTCTGGACTCCCCCATGGTCAATGGCAGTTTGAGTCCCAGACTCAGTGGCTGCAAAATCATACCAGGCACGTGCATGCTTTCCCAAGATCCAAGGCAGAGAATGGAGAAGGGATTGCAGATTAGCCAACACTCAGGGGGTGATTTCTCACTTTTCTTCTCACTGTTTCTCTCTCCCTTTCTCTCTCTGGTGAGTGCACACACTCTACTGCAAAAAAAAAAAAAAAAAAAAAAAAAAAAAAAATATTAAAAAAAAAAAAAAAAAAAAAAAAAAAACTCTTAAAAAAAAATGTAAGCAAAGGTTAAGGGTCCAGTTAGCCGGGAGGAGCACTTCAGCATTCTCTGTAAGCACCAAACCAGGATGCACTTCATCTTCAGTCCAGGAACTGTGCACAAAATACCCCCAAAAGACTGGCCTAAGAGCCAGTGTTTCTTTTATTCACCTGGTCACATAGATATATCCTTGCTAGACAAGGGCATTTCAAAAAGTTTGTGGAAACATGGAATTGAAGTATGAGCTTATTTTTGTGCAAAAATATTTTTCAAAGCCAGGCATGGTTCTTCATAATATGCATTTTTCATGAACTTTTTGAAGGCCCCTTTGTATAATCAGCCAATTGACAGAGCCATACGGGTGTCTCAGTGAGACAAGTTAGAAAGGATCAATCTCACTGCAACAATTGTCATTCAATAATAGAAATTTATCAAAAGTATGGTTGCAAGTAACATTGTTATTCAGTATTCACTATGCCTTGGCTAGGAGTTAATGCTACATCGATACCCTTCTTATTCTAATAATCTCATAGGTACGCTTTTTTGTTTTTTGGTTTTTTTTTTGGAGAGGTTTTCGCTATAGGGCACGTGCGCTCGCCAGACAGACAGAGAGAGACAGAGAGACAGAAAGCAAGAAATCACCCCTCAGGGGGGATGGTCACACTGCAATCCCTTCTCCTCCATTCTCCTCTCAGGATCTTGGGCACATACGCACATGCGCCCAGCGTGAGTTTTAAGTCACCGGGTCCAGGACGCAAACCGCGGTCGACTATGTGGGAGTCCAGCGACATAGCTATTATACTCACTGCTGGTCCCGTAAGTACGCTTCTAGCAATTTCAGGCCTGCTCTGGAATTAACCTTCCCAGATCATTATAGGATTGCCTTTTACTTTCCTGGAACTAGGTAGGGAGATTGTCTTCTGACTTATTGAATTGTTACAACAAGTATTGATTAGATGCACTCAGAATTTGTGTTTGATGCTTTATAGAATCTGCAGAAGAATCTACCCTTTGGCAACTAACATTGAAAAGGCAAAAGAACCGATCAAAACTGTGGTCGTGAAATTGGCCTGAGTGCAGTGCTGGTCACTCTGGGTAAAGCGTCCAGGATAAGGAACATCATCATTGAACTCACAATCTAAATCTATCTGCTGGCCAGCTACTCCTCTGCAGACATTCAGTAACGGTTTGTTGAATAAATGGCATGTGCTGTGCTTCTCTGGTCAGCAGTAGAAGGCAGACAGAGGAGCGCTGTCCAGACGCATGCATCAGCTGCAGAACTTCAGCCCTCTCGAGTCAGCCATTAGAGGTGGCTTAGCATGCAAACAATCTGGGAGTTTCACATCCTTTTGCAATGAGCACACTCAAGTGCAAAGCTTGAGAAGCTGAGTATGGAGACAAGTGGCCCAGCCCAGGCTTCCTTCTATACCACTATGGTTTCTTTGCAACCCAGTGACTAGTGAAAGGATGCTTTCTTTCTAGATTGCAAAATGCTCAAATCTTACTAGCTAATTATCCAACTTGGAAAGAGACAAAGTCCTCTGTTCCATTGGGAAAATAAATAAGAAAGAAAAACTGTGTAGAAGACAAGGTAGATTGTGGACCCAAACAGGCTTTAAAAAGAAATGGATGTTGCAGTGCAGGTGGTGGGGGCTGCTGCATGAGGCGGGAGCTGCACAGGAAGCTCAAAATCAGTCCCTAGGCTGGCCCAAGGCAGGCCAGGTGTGGTGGTGTGCACCTGAAATCTTAGCTAATTGGGAGGCCAGGGCAGGTGGATTGTGGCATGGAGAGACCTTATCAAAACTCCCTGTCTCTCTCTCTTCTCTCTCCCTCTTTCGCTCTTCTCTTTCTACCTGGTATTTTTAACATAATGGGTAATGGATCATTTATTTTGTGTAGAGTGTTATATTTAATGTGATTCAGCAGGGCAGACAAGACTTCTACAATTCTGGTGAGCTATGATCCTTGCCCTCTGCAAATCTTTACCTGGTGGGAGCATGAAATCATGCCCAAGAAATAAAACAATTGAAAAAATTAAAAAGCTGTCGTGAGCATGGTTGATGCTGACTCATCCATTCAAATGTGTCCTGAAATCTCTGCTACTTTTAAATCAACAAAAGAAAGTTTGATGGGGATTTCAAGCAATATTACCCTTTCTCTACAGATTTATTGCTATAGTTGGGGACCATAATTTTTTTAGAATAAGGAAATGATTACTGTAGTTTAAACCTTCCCTACATAAATCACTCTGCTCCCAGCAATGGGACCAAAAGTGCTTCCACCTTAGAAATAGCTATTGTGCTAAAACAACTTGTGATAAACTTAGGTGGCCATTGGAATCAAAGAGATACATTCACTATATGTATTTCTATATACATTAGTGTTCACTTGCAGTAAAAATGTGTTACAGTCTTCTGCGATGAATTCATTTATAAAAAATGTGGCAAGGATAACATAGTTAAAGAATATTATTTTCTGTTATATAGAATTTCTTTCTTTTTTTTTTTTAGCTTGCTATGGTGTGCATGTGCTTACCAGAGAGAGAAGGAAAGTGAGAAATTATCCCCCAGGGGATGACTGTGTTGCATTCTCCTCCATTTCTTGGGATTTGGGGCATGTGCACACACGTGCCTAGTATTACTGTCAAGCTGTCAGGTCCAGGACTTGAACTATACAATCAGCCATGTGGGATCCAGTGTCTTAACCTCCATGCCACTGCTGGCCCTATATAGAATTTCTGCCAAGGCCAGATAGGAAGGCTGCACACTTGCCTTGAGCCAGAGGTGGTACAGCTGTAAAGCATGTGACTCTGGGATGCTAATCCACAAGGGCGGTTGCCAGTTCATGTCCTGAGACCTCCCTGAGTACACCAGGCAGGGCGTGCCCATGATCCTGGTTGGTGGAGGCTGGAGGTGGATCACAGGAGGTGATCCTGTTGGGGATGGTATCTCTCTCTCTGTGTCTCTCTGTCTCTCTCACTCATGAAATGGAATAAATAAATGAACTCTATAAAAGGACCTACCTCTAGCCATACCATGAGAAGAACTAGGTACAGGTCTCCACTGCTGGTACTACTGTCCACACCCAGCCCCAGCCCCCACATAGCATCTCATCCTCTTCCCAGACTCTAGCCGGCCCCCAGCCCTGCCATCAGCCACACAGTATCTACTTCTGCCGGGTCAGCCCACCACCCTTTCCCACTTGGCGCACCAAGTCTCCAACCCCTGGTCTTTTTGGAGCATCACAGAGAGTTGTTTCTGTGCCATAGATAAGAAGAAACAAAATCTAAACCAAAGGCCTGGCCATGCCTCCCACGAAGGAGAAGTGGCCATTGCCTCTTCATCCTTCTCTCTTACGAGTGCACAGCAGCGAAATACAAATGTTGCCTATCAATTTCTTAATTAATCACATTGTCTCCCAAAGCAGCAGACCTTCCCGTAGTGCAGGAAGGATTTTGGTCAGAAGAGCATGATGAGGTCTGTGCTTGAGACACACCATCAGGTGTTGGATATGGAAGAGGAAGTCAAGAGGCTCGAGACTGGAAGCAGAGGAGTCCGGGGCTATTGCGATATTTCACTGGAAACGGATGGGACTTAGACTAGGGCTGCAGCTACAGTGGGATGGCGATGAAGAGGCAGAAGAGAAAGGAGTTTGTGGAGGATAAAAATCTCAAGAGGTGGTGACTGACCAGATCAGCAGTGGGGAGTGAGGAAGGGCTGTGACGCCACTTTTCCGGCCTGCCCCCTGGGTGCATCATGGGAGTAACTGAAATGACCAAGCCAGCTGGGTGAGGGGAACCAGGTTTGGGAGGCAATGTAGGGGGTTTCCTTTCAGACACGCTGAATCGGAAGTGCTCATGGGACACTCACGTGACTCTACCGAGTGGAGGAAGTTGAGTTAACTACTGACACTTTTTCTCCAGAAATGGTCTCCCTAGGTGTCTCTACTTCTTCACTTGCTTCTAATCTGAACTTGGTTGTTTGTCCACAGGCTTGATCTTCAGCTTCGATGCTGCAGGGGTGGAAGGCAGACAAGCCTGCGGAATCGGTCCTGACTTCTCACCGTGCTCACCAGTCTGTACCAGTCATCTCTCCCAGTAACGTGCTGTGGGGTTGGAGAGAGTCAAGAAGAATCCTTGCATCCCCTGTCCTCTGTAAGAGCACATTACTCCGTTTTATAGGAGCATTCCTAGGAGAGTGGACTTTGAAAGGGGTGCGAGTGAGCAGTGAATCCGACAGCCCAGGCAGAGCGGCTCACTAGTAGCACACCCCCCTTCTCTGGTTTAAAGTTTTCAGGGCTGACAGTTTTGATCCATGGAGACTTTCCTAACCCTCTCAGTGTTCTTATATTACCTAACGTTTGTATTTATTGTTTTCCACTGTGTTGATGCAGAGAACATGGGCGAGTGTATTATTAAATATTAGGTAGAAATCATTCCATGCCACTTTGTACATACAAATATTTCATTCATATTTTCACAAATTGCTTTTGTTCAACACTGTATTCAACACATTAAAAATATCATAATGTGGGGCCAGTCGGTGGCATAGTGGCTAAGGCCCTGGGCCCCCAAATGACTGACCACAGTTCAAGTCCCAGACCCAGTGGCTTGAAACACTCCAGGCATATGTGCATGGATGCCCAAAATCCCGAGAGGAGAATGGAGGAGAAGGGATTGTGGCATGGCCATCCCCCTGGGAGGTTATTTCTCTCTTTCTGCCTCTCTGTCTCTCCAGTGAGTGCACGTGCCCTATAGCAAAAATCTCTCTCAAAAATAAAAATTATGTGACTCAAAATGGCAGTGCTATTGTCTTGCTATAGTGCTGAATATTTGGGAATTGATTATTAGAATATGAGACTCACTAATGAAAGACACCAGTAACCAGTAAGAAAGGGACAAAGGATGTATATATCAGACCCTGTGGGAGGGGGGCCACTTACCATTTCTTTGCTCTTTCTATTTGTAATTCACACTATGTGACAAGGTTGTAAGGGCATTTATGGCATTTTGTACTGCATTCATTACAATAATAGGATCGAGATTTTTGTCATTAATTCATTTGGTTGATACTATCTCTGTGTATTAGTTATCTCTTTTAGAAATGTAACGATTTGTTCCAGCAATCATTGCTAATTCTCCAGCTTATAGAAAACTACCCTTCATAAAGATACAATTATGATATCTTTCAGTGTATCACTTTCCTAAAAATACTACACAATCCTAGCTGCCACTCTGTCAGAAGCAACTTCTTCTGTTGAAAATTGACTGATCCATCTTGGCCACTTCCTTGACACATGGGATCAGAATGTCAAGTTGGGGGCAGCCAATGGCATGGTGGTTAAGGTGGCTGGATCCCACATGGCCAACTGTGTCGTTTGAGTCCTGGCTCAGCAGCTTGAGGGGCAAGCTCCAGCGTGTGCATGCCCAGAGTCTAAGGAGGAGAGTGGAGGGGAGGGGAGCGTGGCAGGGCCATCCCCCTAGGGGGTGATTTCTCATTATCTCTCTCTTTCCCCCCCTCTATCTGGAAAGCATACACACCCTGTAGCAGACTGAAAATAAAACAAAGACGATCAAACTGGTCGAGGCTCTGTAGAAAGCTTTGGATCCATTATGCTACCAGTAGCAGCTCTTTATCTTTTATGATGATCTAAGCTGTTTTCGATCCCAGATTATCTTGGTGATCCGAGGGCAGTATAGTAGAGACAGAATGGCAGATTTTAAACTGCCTTTTACATTTTCTTTCGTTATACGGTATTGGACAACTTCCAGCATTTAGGGTTATGTAATGGTCTGCTTGTAGCTTCCTGATGTTTGAGCTATTTCTAATCAAAGTCACTAAAGAAGCTTATCTATATCTCTGATTGCTGTCTCTTTGAGAAGATGAGAAACAGGAAGATATAAGCGGAAAAGGAAGCAAGGAGAGTGGGAAACAGGCAAGGATCCACGTCACGTGAGCTTTTTCATTTAGGCTGCTTGCCCTTGCTGTTCTAACCTAGAAGCCTTTCAATGGGTCAGACAGCGGCTGGAGTATGCCAAGCCAGAAGCATTTGTCTTCAGAAGGAAAATATCCTAACGTCTCCACAATGCTTACTGAGCCTCAGCAAAGGCCACGTTACACAGAATGCGTTGCAAACAAACACACTCTTCTGCAATTTTAATAGCTATATGTAGTATAGTACTCTGGCAAAACTGCTTCCTCTACCTTTCGTAAGCCTTGTTAGAAGTGAGTTTGTGAGAATCAGGAACATGGTCATGAAAGAATGAAATTTATTCCAGTTCCAGGATGGCATGCAGAGGAGATGCATTAAATTTACAGCAATAACATTAAATCTTTAAAAAGGTCAAAATGATGGGGAGACTGAAGAATTTACAGAGATAGTCATGGCATTTAGTAGCATTAGTCTCAAAGGCAAGGCCTGCATCTTAATAAACAAACGTAGACTTCTGGTGAGTTAGGGTATTTTGTTTCAAGCCAAAATTACCATTAATCAGATGTTTTTAGATGATTTAGATAATCTACTTTTTAAGTTTGATTTCGTATAAGCTTTTAAATTCTGAAATACAGTTCAAATGTCACTGCAACAACAGAAAGCCTGTATTTAGATTAAAAGCAAGACTTTCTACCTGCTTGTGCCGTATGACAATATGAATATAATTTAAGCCTATCAATAGTCAAAACATAAACCAGAGCTAATTAACTGACACTCTTGTCATCTGAGAATAAATAGATGTTGTTGGCAGACACAGTGGCTGTGATCAGTCAGCAGAGAAAGACTTCTAAATTCCCCTTACTGAGCTGAAATGTTCATTACAGAGGACAGACAAACATGGGTTTTTTTTCTTGTCTACCTGCCATATTTATGTTTATGGAGATCAGCTTAGGGACACAGTCAAACCCTCAAAACTGGAAATATGAACTTTGCTTGATTGTTCTCTGTTGAGTTCTAATAGTGGTCATTCAAGCTTTAACGAGATTCTAAAAAGAAAACTTGATCTGTCTTTTAATAGATTTAGCTGAGTGGCAATAGTCTTTGAAACTGTTCATTATTGTCTTATATTAAAGCTACACATCACTGTGATTAATTAAATATATATAGGCACCCTGAACTAAGACTCCATAATAGATAATCCACAGGTTTTTCTTTAAAATTTCCTGCAAACACAGACAGGTCTCTTCCTGTTCTATTCACATGAATACATTTATCCTTACTTCCAGAGAATTTATCCTTTCATCTTGAATATACCTGTTATCTCTTCTGCATATTTTTAAAAGGAATATTTTTTGATAAATAATGGAAAAATATTCATCTTGCCATCAGTATTGTACTCATGAACTTAAAGTCAGAAATTCTACGAAAGTCAAGGTAACCAAGAATAATCTAGAGGCTGCCAAAGACTTGCTTAACAGTGCTTTCAAGTCTGACTAAGAACATTGATATTTAGGTAAGTAAGATGCAAATATTTTAAATCATGTTTTCTTTAAAAAAAAATAAATAAAGAATAACTTTAGGGCCAACGGGTGGCATGGTGATTAAGGTACTGAACTCCCATGTGGCTAACCAATAGTTCAAGCCCAGGACCTCTGGCTTGGAAATCATGCCGGGACATGTGACTACATGCCCAAAATCCCAGGAGGAGAATGGAGAGGGATTTGCAGCTTTGTCATCCACCCAGGGGGTGAGTTCTCATTTTCCCTCTCTCTGTCTCTCTCCTGTGAGTACATGCACCCTATCACACATGCGCACACACACACACACAAATCTTACAAAAGCTATCACTACCACTCGTTAGCTCACATGGTATTCAGCCCTCGCTGTGTGCAGCCGCTGTGCTAAAAGCTTCACCATCATCCTCTCAGCTCATCATCGCGACAATGGCAAGAGACAATTCCTAATCCTTTCGAAGCCACAGCAGCACCTCCATTTTCAGGGTGTGGAAACCAAGAAAGAAAGTTAAGAAACTCTCCTGAAGGCTGTGCAGTTGGGCAATAGAAAACATTTAGACTCAACCCATGCTCAAATTCCTCTTTTTTTTTTATCCCTGTATTACTTGAGCATTATGCTGTGGGTTTTAATTAAAAGCAGGGACCAGATTTATCATCGCAGTATAAACAGTTTTAAAGACTGAATAACTATTTCAGATAGGAAATACCAAGCAGAGATAGACTTGGATCCATAAGCAGAGAGAAACATAAATGGGGAGCCCTGAGAATGCTCTGACTTGGGCACTTTCCAGAACAGCTGCTAGGAGGAGGGTCCCTCCCTAGAACCTAACAGTCACACTGAGTTGAGGAGACAGACTGCAGCAAGGGGATGGAGGCAGCTGAAGTGCATGGAGCATAGAACCAAACAGGAAGAAATCACACAGAGAAAGACCTCCCAGAAATCCTCATGTGACTTTGTATTTGTGGATAATGAAGTAGTAAACTATGAACACAGGGTGGAACTCCATCAAGCCAAGCAAAGAATGACTGGGCAAGGATAACTGGGCAGCTTTATGCTGTAAATTCCTAGATCTCACTCAGAGGAAACACTCAAGGTCTTGTCTGTCGTATTTGAAAATCCTCATGCATCCCCTCGACTGAGGACCCCGAACAATTTACTCTCTAAGTAGCAGGACTGAAATACCTTTAGAGAAAAGACGACCCTACATAAGCCCTGACACAGCTTAAAAACTAGCATTGAGGGACCAGCAAATGGCATAATGATTATGTTGCTGGATCACACATAGTCAACCATGGTTCAAGTCCTGGACCTAGCAGCTTAAAACTCACGCTTGGCATGTGTGCATGTGTGTCCAAAATCTCAAGAGGAGAATGGAGGAGATGGGATTGCAACATAGCCATCTTCCCTAGGGGATGATTTCTCACTTTCTGTCTCTCTGCCTCTCTGGCAAGTACATACACCCTGTAACAAAAATCTCTTTCTTACAAAAAAAAAAAAAAGTATTGAAAGAATTAAACTGATTCAAAAAATATTTAATAGCTTTCCAAAACAAAGTCTGACAATATTTTATAAATACAACAATATACAGCATAACAACTCAACAACATAAAATTCCAAATATGTATCATTGGATCTAAAATTATATACAATGACCACAAAGAAATAAATTGTGAATCATAACTATGAGAAAAGTTAGGAACAATAAAACTGACTCCCAAATGAACAAGAAGTATGGATACTTCTCAACTATTTCCATGAAGTTGGTATTACCTGGTAACAAAACCAGTCAGACAGTACAAAAGTGGGAGGAGGAATCTATGGGCCAATGATCTCTGGGACATAATCACCAAAACTGTTAGCTAAGTATTAGCATGTCAAGGCCCAGCTCCAATGGCTCAAGCAGGAAGGTGCAAGCTGCACAACGCCCAGGGCCACATAGCAGGCCCAGGTCTGCTTCCTGACCTAACCTAAGCAGGTGGAGCATGGCAGCACACACCCACGGGCCTTGCTCACTGCGAGGCTGGAGCTGAAAGGATCAAAATAGGGTAAGCCCGTGTCAAAAAATAAGAAAGGAAACAAGGAAGGAAGAAAAGACAGAGGACAGGGAGGGAGGGAGGAAGAAAAGAAGGGACCA